TGGCCATAGGAATCAGAAGCAAGGGACTTTGTGGAGGAACCTCCCTGTGACAGGAGTGATCTTGCCAGCTTCTGCCCCGTTTTTCATCTGGCTTTCTTTGAAAAAGATCAGTGGGAATTCAAAACAGAGCCCAACAGCATTTTGACCCCATCTGACAACTATTGCAAATGGGGCGGCCAACAGCACTCAGCCTAAGTCTGACAGACAGAAGTATTTTTCGAGATAGCAATGGATTTATTGCATCTCCTCTGCAAGGGCCAGGTACTGTCATCCTGCAGAGGGGTCCTCAGGTCTGTGGGGTTTCATTCGCTTGAAACACCAAGCCACTTAGCCTGTAAAGACAGGACTTCTGTATATGTTGTGGAATAAACTTAATCTATGTGTATTTCAGAACATGATTGAAAAGCTGTTGATAAAATTGCACAGGACTACATGCAAATTGAATATTATCTTGGGTTGCTTAAACTCGAGCTGAAAGGTATAAGCAGCTTCAATACAACAGCCTGTTATGGCAGTAGCTCTGAGTTCAAATTTCTAATTTGGACCGGAGCAGTCTCAGAATTCAGGTGCGTTTTGGACTGGTGTTCACCAGACAAAGATTAATTTTCACAACTGATTCCCTCAATTTAGATACGTCTGAGCACAAAGAAAACAGATAATGCCCTCGAGGATGCCTTCAAGGCCATTTTTATATGCCAATTCTCAGGCTCGTTCTACACTGCCAACCTCAAACACTCAATATCCCCCAGTCCTGATTAAAATGAAAAAAAAAAAAAAAAAACCAAAGGACATTTTGGGTCTTGACTTTTAATTCTCTATGCTTAAGCCCACTAGCCTTTTCTTTAGGATCAGCTAATTCCCATTCAAGACTAGGCCCCCATTGGCGTCCCCTGGACATTCCTGCTGCTTGTGTTGGGTCAACATAAGCTACTGCGCAGCCACGGAGAGAGTTAAATGAGTTTTACAACCTGGCCAAAACCCCACCATGAACAAGGTTAGCTGTCCTCAAGATCAGCTTGTGCTGACAGAGAGGAGCCAAGAACTCTCTAGTAGATGGGCTTAACTGAGCATGTAGCTGCATAGGAATCTGTGCTATTTTGATGAGTCACTAGAAAGGCCTCCCAAAAGAAAATCCCAGAGGACTAGTTTTCCAGTGGATGAAGCAGCAGTCATTCTGCAGATGTGCGCTTGCTCTCCATTGTGGAAGAGCAGGAGCACAATTCCATTTAGACTGGATGCAATGTCAAGCCAAGCCTTCGCTCACACTGCCCTCGGATCATATTTTCAAGGCTTTCTCTGCAATCCCGAGAGCTAGAGTTATATTTATTTTACTTAGAGAAAGGTACTAGTCCGTCCACTAAAAGAACTCATGTTTTAAAAAAGGTCAAAGGCAGCAGCAATCTGAGCAATGGGGAGAAGGGCAGACACCACCACCACCACTGGGTAAAATGGGCCTTGTTCTCTCTTGCAAAATCTCTCTTTTTCAAGAGAGATTCTCTTTTTTTTTTCCCAAGGACAGTCTGCAGTAACAGCCAGGCTATATTTTGAATCCACCACAGGGTAAACCAGAATGAGTGGGTAATACAGCACGTCTGCTCAGGGGCTGGTTAGTCCAGTCTGTTTCTGCAGCAGTTTCCACTATGCAGAGCAGAGCCAGGAAAAGACAAAAATCAAACAGAAAACCTACCAGACCCCAAACAAATCAACGAACCAACCCGAAAAGGTATCTCTGGTTTCTCTTAGGGGCTTTGACTGCAGCATCTCCTCTTTGTCTTGCACTGGGTCGTGCAAGTTTGAGACCCTTACCATTGCTAATTGGGGCTTTTGCTGCAGGTAAAGCTGATATTGGAAAGGCAGAGACATGTCTGCTGCCAAGCACAGAAAATGCCCAGTATCACATCAGGAGCACGGACTGTGAGAAACCGTAACGCAGAGCTTCAAGTCAGACAACACGCATCTATGGAGGTGATTTAGTTATTTTTGTACCCCATGAAAGAAGGGACATCTCCCTCAAAAACGGGCTCCTTGTAGGGAACTTGATCCGTTGGAAGGGAGGCTGAGTTAGTGATTACAGCTGAAATGCAAATGTGTCTTCAGCAGGGTGGCTGGTTGTTCGATCTTCTAATACAGCACATCAGCCTGTTAATGGAAATGTAGCTTTTCACCTTCTGTTTTTCTCCCAGCAGAATTAATTCAGCACTGTTTGCATGCCAGGCATGCAAAGGCACAGCTGGGAGCTCTGGAGAGAGGGAGAAGGCACAGCTTGCACCCGGCCAATGCTCTAAGATCATGGAATATCTGCAACAAAGCTGGGAACTCAACCCACTGCCTTTGCCAAGCGACTTCATCGCAGGATCATCTTTGCTCTTGTCCCTAGGAACCGTTTCACACTCTTGCAGACTGCCAGAGCCAACACACTGGGGGAAAAGCGTCTGGGTGCTCTGGAGTCCTTCTGCAGGGACAGAAGCTTCCTGTTCTCTGTGATGCTGCAGAAGGGGGGGAAAAACATCTATGTTTTCCCACAGGAGCAGCTACCCCTTCCAGTATGCTAAACTTCTTTCTAGCTACAGCCTGCACTTCCATTCCTGTCAGGATTGTCACTCTTTCAAGGCTGCAAGGGCCTAGTTACTCAGAAACAACGCAGAACAGGGGGGAAAAGCTCTTACAGGCTGCCGAAAGAAGAGCACTGGAAGGGCACCACAGGCTCCAAGCGGTTTGGGAAGCCTCCGAGCTGACAAGAGCCACAGGAATGGCACCTTGCAAGGCTGCTGCTGCTGCACATATGTGCTGCTAAAATGTCTCAGTAGCTGCCAAGATACAGGGCAGTTATGGAGGGAGATGCTCATGCTGCTTAGTAAATGGTCAGAGATGGTCATGTTGTTTATTACATGGTCCTGTTAAGACATGAAATGGGAAAGGGAGTAAATTTGTTCAGGTAACATGAACCACTGCCCATAGCAGTGGCTATGCTGAAAGCCCCAGGAAACAACAGACCTGGGCATGTGTGAAATGCCTCCTTGTGAGGCGACTGCCAATGGAACAGCTGAAATTCTCGCTTGGATTTGCAGCTGCGCGTTTGTGAAGAAAATGAAGGTGGAAAAGCCATAGAAACACCGGGAGGAAGCTGAGACGAAGTGCCTGGGAGGGCTGCAGGCTTGTACTTGAGAGAGGGAAAAGTACATCCTGCTGTGCTGATACACTCAGGATACAGAAAGCGAAGAAACATCCAACTCATATTTCTTCCTGTTGGAAGCAAGTCCCAAAGCTCAACACCTAATTAGCTGCTCAGACCAGGAGAAGATCATCTATTTTTCCAAGTGCTCAGGTAAAAAAAAATATATATATATATAGGAGTGAAATCATATGGTGTGAGGCAATCTTCTGCTCTATTACTGTGGTGTCAAAATACAGCTTCTTAAATAAAGTCAGCAATATTTTTTTGTGTACGCTTAGGAGCAAACTGTAATCCCTCATCCACCATTACCTGAGTCTGCACAGTCACTCCCGTATAAATGACACCATAAAGATATATATTCAGTCATAACCTTCCTTGGATCCAATCAACATAACTACTATCCTTGCTTCTTTCTGTATATAGCGGTGAGAAAAAGGGGCCAGTTTGATTCCAGAAAGAGAAAAGCAATTTGCATGTAGCTTTTATATCTCTGCAGAACAAAAAGCTTGTAACCCTGCCAAAACACAAACTTCCTAAAGCCAAAACCTACGGGGCAGAGCTTTCTTTCTTCACCTTGTGCTAATCAGCAGGCATTGATTTGTGAACCTGTCGATAAGGTTTATCGGAGTGGTGAGTCATCACAAGATGATTTTGAAGGTTATCTCTCAGCACATCTAAGCAGCTTGGCCTTGCCTAAAGAGATGATTTGAAGATAAAAAATCAATGGCAGGGAGATTTTGCAACTTTCAAGCTCCTTGTGATGGAACTTTTATGTAATGAGGACTCAAGTATTTTGCTCAGATGTACACAGCACACTGCTGTGAATGTCCGAATTTGTGTTCGGGCACACAACAGATATACAGACATAAATCAAACACACCAGCACAAAGCTCAGCTCTGCTGTGGCAGTCCCTTTTTGGGGCTAGAGGACACAATCGGTACAAGCTGCTGCGACTGTTGTCAGCAAGGCAGCAACTTGCCTTTGAGGTGAACACCCGTCTGCTAAAAGTCAGTTCATGTGAATCCCCCCCCGAGAGCTATCACGGAGAAAAGGATTACACCTGTACCAGCCGGGATTCGGTGAGCAAGGGAAAAGAAATTCCCATTCTCTGCTAACCTTAGTTCTCCTGTCGCCCCAACAATCTCTGCATGTTTCCAATTCCCGTGGGATTATTTCTGCAGGAGCTGAAGGTGATGCCCAACATACCAAAGAGAGCCCAGCTCCCACAGGAGCTGAGGGCATGGAAGTACCTACAGGCTTAACACGGCCTGCAGACGTGGCACACCTGGAAGCTGCACTCGCAGCTGTCTCCCCATGGGCATCCCTGCTTTTTCACACACACACACACAAAAAAAAAAAAAAAAAACCCCCAAAATCCATGTTTTTTGTCCCCCGTGTCACGGGCATGCCAAAATGGGGGACGTTCCTGTGGGTCCTGGCTGCTGCTGATGGAGCCAGGCTGCTCCATCGTGGCTTCAGAAAATGCCACCTCCTGCGTGCAGCGCCTTCGAGAACAAACTTCGCGGGGAACTGCCGAGCTCCTCCGCTCCGAGGGGCGCAACGAGGGCGCCCAAAGCAACTCGCTCTCGAAGCGCTCCCGGCTGCTGCCCGACGGAGCCGGAACGAGGCGGTGGCGGCGCCAGGCGGGAGCCGCGCTCGCCCTGCCGGCCCCGAGGCGGCCATGGCCGCCAACAGCCGCCAACGGCCGTTGGCGGCCATGGCCGCCTCGGGGCTCGAGGCACCCGCTCCATGCAGGCACCTCCCGGCGGCGCCGGCGGGGGCGCCATAACCGCCACAACCGCCGCAACGGCCGCGCGCTGAGGTGACGCGCGCAAGATGGCGGCGGGCGAGTCGGCGGCCGAGCGGTACCGGCCCAACCGCTTCGTCTCGCTGCCCGCCGAGCTCGACCCGGCCACGTTCGAGGCGTCGCCGGAGAAGCGTCGCGCCGAGGCGGAGCGGCTGGCCATCCGCGCCCGCCTCAAGCGGCAGTACCAGCTGCAGCTGCACGACCCGCGCCGGCCCGCCGTGATCGTGAGTAGCGCCCGCGCCGCGACCTTGGCGGCAGCGGCCGCGGGGCGCTCACGGCTTGCCCGCCTCGCCCGCAGGAGGACCCGGCTTTGCTGCGCTGGGTCTACGCCAGGACGCAGAACGTGTATCCCACCTTCCGGCCCACGGCCAAGACCTCCTTCCTGGGAGCCCTCTACGCACTGGGGCCCATCCTCTTCTGGATGTTCGCCTTCAAGTTCGACAGGGTGAGTGCCCCGCAGTGCGACCCCCATCTTAGGGGTCTGAGGAGGAGCGTTAACCCCCACGCTGAGCCCGCTTGCACTTCTATGCTCTCCAAAACCCTTCTTTTTGTCTCGCTTTTCTCCCAGCTCCTGCAATGTGGGTGCCCCAGTCAAAGCGCTGGGAGATCATCCTTAAAATGCTTAGGTACATTCAGGAGAAAGTAATGCCTGGCTGGCAGGAAGCCTCCGGTAGCCCTTTTGGCTGCTCGGCTTGTGGGTGTTGTCAAACGGTTTCGTTTCCCTATCCTGAAAAAAAAAAAAAAAAAAAAGTAACCGTGTTCTTTGTTCTTTTAGGTCAAATCATAGACCAGGAAGCACAAGCTTCAGTTAAAATGAACGAAATATTTATAAGGGATGCTCTTTTCTAGTATAAACTCAAAATACAGGTTTTAAGAAACTTAGAGGACATGTGGATATCAGTAGCTTTAAAACTTAGCGTCTCTACAGTGTTCTGTGGTGCTGGATTTTTGACACTTGAGTGGCCTAGCATGTAAATAAAATTCGAAATAAATATCGAATATCGATAATAAATATCGAAAATATCGAAAATAAAATTCGATAATTGAAATTGAAATTTAGATATACTTGCCTGGGAATATGTAAACTGAAGTATTTGATACAGACTCCAGGACACTTTCTATTTCAGTTTTCTTACTGTTTTTCCAGGGGATTTGTTTTCCACTTTTATATAAAGCAAGGTAGTTATTACATTCCTTTTTCTAAGAAGTGACCTTTGTGTGGCCCGAGGAAGTAGAAAATAAATTTAAATTGCTCAGATTTAAGAGCTTAAGTAGATTTTTTTCTGGTTTTGTCCAGCAGAAGGGGATCCTGACAATGCCTACAAGTTTTAAATATGGTCCCTCTACCTCTCAGTAGAAGGGCACATGATTGCAGAGTGAGATACCAGTGGGGTGAACGCAAGCAAAGGAACATTCAGGCAAGCTACCAGAGATTTCATTGTGAAGAAACTTCTTAAACTGTGAGGTGCTCAGCCAGAAAGAGGAGGTAGGAACTGCTGTGTAAATCAAGTAGGGAGAGCTAGTTTGGCGACAAATATATCACAGGCGTTGGACCTCTCTGGCCTGGGAGAGTGGGTAGGTGTGCAAGGAGAACCATCTGAGCATCATTTTTCCAGCTGATAGGTGAAGCTATGGACCTCGGTTTTTTTGTTTGTTTTGTTTTACTTTTTAACCACAATGGCTGTCAGGATCTCTGCTCTTTGGGTTCCATCTTCTGCTGTTCAATGCTGAAAAACTAGAATTGCTTTTCTCTTATTCTGGCACGATTGAAATGACTTCTTCAGTAGAGCAATGATAAACATTTTTGTTTCCTTCCCCAGGATCGTAGAGAGAAGCTGTACCAAGAAGGTAAAGGCAAGCATCCACTCAGCCTCTTCTGAGCTCCTGGAATCAGTGCTGCTATCAAGCAGCGCTGCTGTTGGGACACAAATAAAATTAGTAAGATGTATGTATACTGACCTTTCTCCTTCCTAAGAATAAAACTTAATTATCCCTTTGTTGTCTTGTGTCTTTAACAGTTACAGGAAGTGAAACAGTACAGAATATTGATACGTAATGAAGATGGGTAGAGGGTGTTCAGAACTCAACAGTTCATTGCTTCGGGTCTACGTAGAGAGACTCGTTTTGCCCCGTGGAAGTTGCTGCTGCCAAAGAGCAGCTCAGGCTGCTGTTTGCAATTAGGCTGCTTCCAAAAGAACAGCGTTGCTTGAGTACTCGCTGCTCCTTCATGATGACAGCTTGACTGTGTAGCTTGCCCATATCAAATAATAGGGAATCTCTATGGTCAGTTTTGAGCAACTCTTCAGGTGCCTGTCTGAGTGTTTCCAATGTGGCAATTTTTTCTTTTCCCTAATAAATATAGGATTTGGGCTTGTGTTTTATTGCAGTAAACATCAGGAAAAAATTATGCTACCAAATTTGGAAGTACTGAACTGAAGATTGTCACTTTAGATCTGATTAGTAGCACTTTCACTATTCTTCTGATTCCTGTGAGAGCAGAACAAAAAGTAAAACAATAAGGCATTTTGTTTAGACATAGATTCCTTAAGGGAATCCCTTTGTTTTCCTATGGAAATGGGGCATGATTAAATGTATGCCTGAACTTGTGCCTGCAAAGGTGTCTTTCTGCTAAATTCTCTGTAAGAGCACGAGTCATTTCTATCCAGGATAACTGGTGTAGGAGGATTCTGGAATTGTCAAAAACAGCGAGATGAGTTTCACAGAATCACAGAGTGGTTGAGGTTGGGAGGGACTTCCAGAGATCATCTAGTCCAACCCTCTGCTCCAGCAGGGTCACCCAGAGCACGGGGCACAGGGCGGCATCCAGGCGGGTCTGGAAGATCTCCAGAGAAGGAGACTCCTGAGTTTGAAGGAAAGATTTTAATTTAGAGTTGAATTTTCACTTGGCCTCTAGGTGCCATCATGATCCCAGTAGCAAAACCTTTTCTTCATTTGCCATTGTAAAGGGGAGGATTCATTCCAAAGAGGTCAGGGTTAAGCTGCAGTTCTTTATGCAAGAATTGAACGCTTCATTCTGTGTGCTGTGAAAGCAGCCTATGTTTCTAGCAGTGAAGATAGCAAAAACAGCTCTGGTAGGTTCCTTTCCTGTGGTGTAAGGGTGGGACACTTGCAGTCCTCCTTGATGAAAGTGAATTAATAAACGTGCAGTTTTCCCTTTTCCTGGCTGACTCGGGAAGTGCTTAGGCTGTGGGGGCTTGGCACAGCTTCTGTGTACAGCAGCTGCTCAAGGCTGTGACCTGTCTTTGCATTTCCCTGTGTTCTCAGCAGCCCTTCGGGGCCTCCCTGCAATTTGTTCTTCTGCTAGCTTAACTAAAACAAACTCAGATTATTCTCTTTGCAGAATTGCTTCTAAAAGACTGTCACAAATGATATTACAAGATGTGGCTGGGAGTCAATGCAGGGGGAGAGAGAGAGAGAGAGAGGCAGCAATGCATGGAGAAAGTGGTATTTAGGGAAAGAAATAATTGCTTGTCTGAGCATGCTAAATTAACTATCTTCCTGCTGCCACAAACTAATTTGATCTCCCAGGACCCATTTCCTTAGCTAATTGGAACTCGAGTTGCCACACATGTAAACTCTCCCTCGCAGCTCTGTTGGTTTCAGGGCAGTTGAACAAATGGTTTGGGACGGCTTGTGGATGAGCGGGGCGCCCCTGGCCCTGCAGGGCAGCCTTTGGACTGCTCCCTGCACCTTGACTAACGTATTACAGCCCGTGTCTACTTCAGCCATGAGTCTATGGCGAGGGAAACTCAAGCATGCAGGTCACTGGATAGTAGTTTACATCCTAAACTGAACATTTTTCCCTTTGGCGTGTAAAGCATTTATCCCTGGATCACTCTGATAAAATCGACTTCTCTGGCAAATTGTTTCTCCTGAATATGGTCTTCCGAGACGGTTATTCTCAAGTAAACATCATCTCCCTGGCAATTCTATAATGTAATACTTAGCTCAAACTGGTGTGTTTTTCCCCTCAAGAATCTGATGCAAGTGCATTGATGGACATGTCTGATGTGTCTGACTTCCTCCCTCTTTTAGTAGACAGGATTAAGATCTTCAGGAGTGAGAAGCGTAGACCGTGATGGCACCAATCTTGCAGAGTTCAGACTGTTACCCAAATTTCTCTTTATCCCGATGGACTCAGAAGAAGAAATCAGCTCTACACTGACGATAAACGAGTAATGTGTGTCGTAAGCAAACTAGCCAGTTGAGCACATACACAAATGAGACAGATGCCTTGACAGCAACATTTACTACCTTGCTGCCTTGCTAAACTTGAGCCCTCCAAATCCTGCTTTTGACAGGACAGGTGGGTACATGGCTACAGCACAGGCCTGAGGGTTGGGATTCCTAGATGGTGCATCTGTTTCCTAACCTACCACAGGCTTCACTTCTGCATCCGCCCTGTGGAACAGGAGAGTGGTTGGAAATCATTGTATAGGGGAGCAGGCAGATTGAGTATTCCAGTGTTTTTTGAGCTATTCCATAAAGTTGTCTGCACTCAACTTTTCTTCCAGGTACCTTTGCAGGAACAAATACTTGGGCTGCCCAGCCAAGCCCTTTCATATTCACTGAGCGCAAATTGGCACGTAACCGGTGAGAGAAATCGCCAAGTGCCGATAAAAAGCTTGGTGTAGAAAGATGCCTACAAGAAAGATGAGCCTGAAAAGAAAATATTCCCTCAATGAGAAGTGGAACACTTAGGACTCTCCAATCTCCTCCAATCTGCAGGATAGTCTTACGACAATAAGGGCTTTTCTTGGCAACCACCCAGAGAAGAGTAGCTTGAAATGCCCTGCTCTGATGGAAGACACAGTCTGCAGCTCATATTTTGAAAGTTCCTCCCTTACAGAGGGCATAACACCTTGTTGAGCCCTAGCTACCCACACTGTGGGAGACACCTCACATCGTATTTTCAGGAGGCCCCTGTGAAATGGGGCTGTCACAGTCACACAAGGTGCAGTATTCCCAGCAGCTTGGCATGGTGAGAGCCATACAAGTATTTCAGCTTTGGTGTGTCACAAGGAAAGCTTTAATTAGGTACATGAAAACTAAGAAGAGAGGTGTTTTTTTTTTTTTACCACACTTCAAGTTACACAGGCATGATCTTTTTAGTGACTCGGTGGCTGCTGGAATTACCATTCTGCACTGGAGCACCCTGTATTGCCCGAGTCGATTACTGCAGCACGTGTAAGTGTGTCAGACTTCCCTGTCTTCATTGACACCTTGCAAGCAACAATTTCTTTACTTGCAATTAGGATTGAAATGGCTTTTCAGAGGCTCCCAGCACTTGTAGTAGTTTTTATCTAGGCGGTTGGAGGTCTTGAGGCCCCATTTGGTAACAGCCATACTGAAGGAAGATTCAAACATGAAGGCCTGTTGGGAAAAGGAGGATTTATTAGGGCAGGAGAGACTGAGAGTGTGAATTTAGGCAAGGTGGCTCTTCTTCCAACCGGCTCAACCCCGAGAGAGAAAGCAACTCCCAGCAAAGACTGTGAAAGCTCTTGAGAGCTGGCACTGCAATACTGATACCAATTAGGTCTCTGATGTGACTTTGGATTCCCTCTACATCTAGTAGAGCCATGTTTTTCCAAGAGCTCTGGCACCTGGCTGGTTGACAGTTATCATTATGACACTTTAGGAGCTAGGGAGAAGAGGACAGTCAGGGGTTTCACTTCTTTGTCTATAGGCTAAGGCAAAAAATAACTTTATTAGCATGAAAATTCCTGGCTCCCTCCTCAGGCATCAATTTATGCAGGCAGATGATCAAAGCTGCCTGGTATCTCATATCTCCAAGGATGCTCCTGGGTACTGAACTGATCAGTACTGATCAGACTTACTGATCAGTAAGGGATGTAAGTACTGTACTTATCCAAGTACTTGTTCAACTTGCCAGCAAGAAGCTAGACCATTCTCTGAGAGTCCTGCAGTGGCAGAAGACTGTGCTGCATACAAAATCTTACTGTTTTCTTTGAATTCTTACCATAGTCCCTTCTGCAACCCTCTCAGGCTCCAGCTTTGCTTTGCTTGCCTTCTCGAAACAGTCGGCGTCTGGCCCGTGAGGAGTCATCATGCTGTGCAAGCTGGCCCCTCCAGGCTGGAAACCTTCTTCCTTTGCTTCATAGTGGCCTCTGATGAGCCCCATGAACTCACTCATGCAGTTCCCTGTGGGAGCAGGCAAAGAGAAGCTGCAGTGCAGCACAATTTGGAGCACTGCAGCTTCACCAGGAGCTCTTGTAACTCACAGTATATGGAGTGGGCTGTATATGGATTTGGAGGCTCCTAAGCAGTATAACACAAGAGTGACCCTATCAATGGGTCTAACAGTGACCCTATAAGCAGTGCTTGTAAAGCTGGGCTACATACAGATTTTAATCCACTCTTAATTATCTGAATTCAGAAACCAGGAGCTCCCTAGTGAAGAGATGCACTGCTATTGATAGACCTGTGCTTTTCCTATTACTTGGAGCTATGTAACTATTAAAACATTTAGACTGCCTAAAGCCTGACTGGATATTTACAGGCTTTCATTTGAATTCTGAAGCCCTTGGAAAGGAAGGCATAATTATCCCTGGAAGGTGCAATTATCTCTGGGTCCCTGTCACTGAGGCACAAATGGAGAAGAGGAAGGCTGCAGCCCAGCCAGCACACTACACGGAGAGCTTGGTCTGCTGCCCCAAGTCCTAGCGCAAAATTGTTTTGCTCCATGTTTTTCTACTATCTCCAGTTGAGCCAAGCACTTTAGTATCTTGTGATTTAGATTTAGATTTAGATTCATTATCTATCTAGTTCTCAAGAGCCACTGTATGTCCAATGACAGGGAGCCAAATTATGTCCTTCCCTCAGGAAAAATACTCTAGGTAGACCCACTGAAACCAGTGGAGTCATATACCACTAAGTTGGCTAAGGATGGTTAAATCTAATCATCCAGTTCTTATTAAGTTATGCTCCTTG